GCTGTAGGGAATAAGAAGGATTTAAGGACCGTGAGGTGTGATACCTGCTCCTGAGTGCACTGGAGTCGAGTGTTTCTAGAAAATGTTACACAAAGCTCTTTAGAATCCCAGTTCAAGTCCTGGTGACAGAACTAGAGATCGTCTCAAATCCCTTGCTGAAATTCACACACAAATGTTCATTGTGAAGGTTGCAGATTTAAATGTAAGCTGAAATTGAAGCCTACATCTCTCCTGATGAGGTGAGGTTTGGGAAGGACTCCCCAGACTTGGCAAGAGGACATCTGTACAGACTTGGATGAAGCTGGCAATCTTAGCTCCTGAGTCGCAGTCTTCTTGCCTTCTTTCCCAACTGAGACTGTCCTTCCTTTGGTTGCATACCCAGTAGTGACTGCACCTGAGGGAGGTGCCTTTTCAAATAGCTGTCTGTACTCTTCAGGGCTTGCCCCAATGACTCCTTGTTGCTATTACACCTGTAACTTGGGTGAGGCAGATTCAGCATATTCCAAGGCAATAAGTACAAAGTCTGATTCTGAAGGCAAGATTTTATAATCTAAGAGAACTTCAAGGTTTTTTTCTCATGGGTAACCTGGTGAATATATATTAGAGTGAGATTCTAAGAGCATTAGCTCTAAGAAGGCCAAATATAACAGGCCACATTTACTGACATGAGCATACTTGTTAGGGATTCTGAATTTATTGTGCACCTTGTATAAAGAATTTACTTACCTAGCTGACAGAAACATAGACTAAATAGTGACCTACATATAAGGAGTTTGAGACCCCCGAACTTCCTTGCACAATGTAGTGAAAGAAATCCAAATATTTGAGAGTCCTGGTGACTAGGCACATACCTTCCCCTGTAGATCAATATGCAATAACCACAGAAGCAGTTTGTTTCACCTGGTAGAGCCAAAAGACTCCTGTCACAGACTGGCCTTAAGGCTCCAACAGCTCTCTCTCTTCCTAATATAGTCTTCATCACCCTGTCATCTCAAAAAATGTCATATGGTCCAGTCCACTCATGACATTTGCAGGTTGGATCTGACATGAAGGTTGGAGCATGAAGTATTCTAGATTTGTCTTAGTAAATTTCATGTGTAAGAGGGTGGGACATAAACACCACAAAAATTCGGTAATTTACAACCTTGGTGAAGTTTCTTATGTACCAATAGCCTGCAGCACATTGCAATATCCCCTTCAAGGTGAAAGGCAAGCTGCTGTTCCTTGCATTGTCAACCACTATTAACAGGCAATGTTTCATAGTCCTTTTTCTCTTTTGGAGTGATGTTTCATTGACCCATTTACCAAGTAACCTATAGACTGCCAGTCTTAAGCAGAGATCAGAGCCCAAAAGGCTCTGAGTGAGTCCAGCCTATAGTGTTAGCTATTCTGCCACCCGGGGTTTAAGACCCAGCAGACCCAACCACACTTGAATGGAATTCTGTATGGAGCCTTTTACCAAAGCCAATAGAGGAACTGAAGCATAGACCTCTAGGGTTTGGGAGGAAATCCATGACCTCTTCTCTAAGTAACAACTAATCTTCTCTTGAGAAATAGCTCCTCGTTTGCTACAAGTCCTGTTAACAGTCAACCTGGGTCTGAGTGCTATTTGATCCAATAAGCCATAGGACTATGCACAGCAGCAATACCTCAGCAAGTGGAAAAGATAAAAGAGACAGGGATTAGGCAGATTTGGAAGGCACAGCAAGATGCCTGATTAGGTAGCTTGACTCCTTTGACACCTCCTCCTGCTATAAGGCTCCCACCCCCTGCTCCCTAATCCATAACTTTGGCTGCAGGGGGGTAGGTAGTTTCTTATGACCAGCTGACCAGGAAGAAGAAATTTAGACCTGGTTTACAGTTTATTCTGATCAATATGATAGTACCAGCTAGTTGCTGCAAAAACTGATGCAATATTACAACTCTAGTTGGATATGTCACTGAAGAATTCTAATGAAGGGAAATGTTCTTAGGGAGAATTCTGAGTGGTACATTTGGTTGTCTACTCCATCTGATCTGAGCAATATCCAGAAGTACAGATCTAAACTGCAGTAGCCAAGGGCAATTACTAATAGTTTATCCAATGATCAGGGACTTGGAAGGAACAGATTTAGAAGTCAAGTGACAAGAAGGTCTGGAAAAGAAGTAAGTAAATGAATCTTTCAGAATAAACAGAAAGTTAAAGATGATTGTGCTCCAGGTAAGTGCTCACCAAAGCACTGTGTACAGGCCATGAGAGTGCATTTTGCAGATATACAACTACAGGGAATGTATTAACCATGGGCCCAGCTGCTATACTTGGAAATTCATCACTGCCTCTCTGACACATGCTTCCCAGGGCTACTCCCAGAAAATACTGAGCATGGCAGGAATACTAAGGTATGCCTATTCCTGGCATATATCGGCCTCCTGTGACAGCTGAGGATTTGTGGACTTCCTGATGGTGACACCGAGCCTAAGCTAACTCAGAGAGCCATCCACTGTGGAGGGGGCTTTCAGTAACCAGGACAAAATGAGGCACTTGGTGGATATCAGTTAGCCTCTTTCCCTGGCTATTCTAATGACCAAGCAGTGGGCCCATGTACAAGGGTGGCCAGGTTGGCAAACAGAGACTTACACATCAGCTTCTTCTCACCATGACTGATATGGGCAGCTGGTGGCAGGTTGATTACACTGACATTTTCTACCAAGAAGGGGCAACTAGTTACTCTCACTGGAAAATATATACATTGTGGATTTGGCTTTGCCTTTGATACTTCTGTGAGCCTCATTAACTATTATGAGTATCCTGTACCACATTGCTTCTTATCCAAATTAGCAAAGGAAGGTGTATTAGTCTGGCTGCCATAACAAAATGCCTTAGACCAAGTGGCACAATTTATTCCTTAGAGTTTGGAGAATGGAAAGTCTAAGATCAAGGTACTGGGCAAGATAGATTTCATTCTAAGGCTTTTCTCTTGGCTTGTAGGTGGCTCTCATATCACCATCTTGGTCAAACCTCTTTGTGTATGTACTGAGCATGGCAGGGCAAACTATCCAGGGAATCTTCTTATAAGGACATTAATCCCATTGGACCAAAGTCCCACCCTATGACCTCATATAACTGTAACCCTAATTACCTCCCAAAAGTGCCATCTCCAAATACTATCACATTGGTTGGGGGTTAGAATTTCAACATATGAATCTGGGGTGGGGGACACAAATATTCATTCCATATGTTTGTGGCACTACATTGATTTCTATAAATATTTATTGGTTTTGTCATATACTCTATTACCCAGAAACAGCTGGGCCACAAGAATGGTGAAATGATCTACTTAAGACTCAACTACTTTGCAACTGAGAGAAAATAATCTAAATGATGACATTCTATCTTACAGGATACAGCATGTGCTTTGAATTGGTAAGCGACAAATATGGATCCATTCCCAGCCCAAGGCCAGAAGGTCCAGGGACCCAGGGGTGAAAGTGGGAGTGGCTTATCTTACCACAGCATCTAGTAACTGTAACAGAATCTTTGCTTCTCATTGCTATAGCTGTAAGTGCTGCTTCCCAAGGGAGGAATGCTTTCATCAGGAGAATTCAGCGTTTCTACTGAATTTGGAAACTTGTGACTGCCACTGATCATGTTGGGCTTGTGTTATGAACCTGAAATTGGCCTGAGCTGTTTGTACAGCATGAACTCCTGGTGAAAGCATACTATGTCCTGATTAATCATCTTGCTTTGCAGTCGTGTGTATGAGGAGTTCAAGGTGGTTAGTACCAATTTGTCAACATTATTTATTGTAATAGTCAGATGGAATAGTCATACCTGGAGATCTTTACCTATTCGTTTTCTCTCCTCCAAGAATCCCCAAAACTTGGTTGTTGGGGCTGGTTATGTGGCAAGAATATGCCTATGTGAGCAGCAAAGTATAAAAAATACCAGCTGAGATTCTATTTGGGGCTTCTTGGTTCTGAGGTATTCCTGATCCAAGACAGAATGTCCCTATGGACCTGTTTTAGTTTCCTATTGCTGTGGTTAACATTTTACCACAAAATTAGTAGCTTAGAACAACATATATTTATTATCTTATAATTATGATGTCAAAAGTCCAAAACCAGTCTTATGGGCTGAAGTCAACGTGTCTGCAGGGCTGGCTGCTCTAGAAGTTCATGTGAATGTCTGTGCTCTTGCCTTTTTCAATGTCTGGAGGCGGCCTATGTGCCTTGGCTTGAGCCCTTTCTTCCAAGCTCATATCCAGTAGAATGGCACCTCTAAATCTCTGACTCCCTGGCCTTGACACTCACTCCCAGCTCTTGGGATGTTGGCTGTGTTCCTGACTTCCTGTCTCTGTGACAACTTGGTATCCACTATTTGCCTTCCCAGTTCTCTATTCTGATTTTTTTTTTCCAGATTTTGTTTAAAAAATAGTATGGCTTATTTGCTGACTGGGCTCTATTTGATACATAGTTCCTATAGTAGATGGTGGTGGTATATGTTAACAATTTTTTCCCCCAGTACTGGGGATTGAAGCCAGGGGTACTTTACCACTGAGTTACTACCCCAGCCCTTTCATTTTTGGTTTTGAGACAGGGTCTTACTAAGTTGTCCAAGCTGGACTTGAATTTGCATTATTCCTGCTTTGGCTTCCCAAGTAGTGGGGATTATAAGTGTGTACCACTGTGCCAAGCAAAATATTGACAATTTTTGAATCTAGAAAATAGGCATGAGTGTTCATTGTATTACTTTCCCAACTTTTTGGTATATTTAAATCGTTAATAATAAAACCCTGGAGGTAAAGTTTTGAAAATCTACATAGGGCTTTTGTTAGGAGGAAATGATAAATGAAAATGTGATTGCTCCATAAGTCAACTTGATGCCACTTCTAAAAACCTTTCAATATCCCAAACTACCCACCCCCACCTGCAAAAATATGCCTAGTTTTCTGTTTGAATACAGGAAAAGTTATTTGGGCTGATGTCAGTGCCACAAAAATTCCAAAATATGACCTTTGTGGAAAAAAAAAAAAAAAGAAAGATACTATAGGGAAAAACCTATGTAACTATTCATCTTATAGAGAAGAACATGGAGGCCCAGAACTGGCAAGTATTGTCCAAAATCATGTAATAAAATTAATTGAGTCTAAACTTTCCCATTACTCATTCATAAAAACATTGGAAACCAAGTACATGAGGCAGATCTCCTGCTGTATATAATAGGAAGCAAACAGGCTCAAGCAAAAAATGGAATTTGTTACCTCTTTTAACTGAAAAACGGGAAAAAAAGTATGTCTGTATTTAGTACTTGGAGCAATGGCACGAAGAAACTTTTTCCTCTTTTCTGTTGGCTCCATTTGGTAGCCTCTCTGTATGCTGTAGCAAAATTGACCACTGGAAGATCCAGGCACCTCCTGGTAAGTTAGCATATGTAGCATCTTCCCCATTAACTTCAGCAAAAGTATTAGAGCTGACTTGAGTCAAGATGGGGCCATATGGATTGACAATGGGGGAAGCTAGTTCTTTAGAAAAAGTAGGGTGCTATTACTAAAAGAAGCCAGTGAAAGAATAAACAAACGTTGAACAGGTCAAAATGAGATGATCAGCAGCTAGACTTCTCAATTCCTACAGGCTGAGAACTAGGGTTTTTTTAGATGCCAAGTGAGCAAGCCAGGACTTAAATTCATTTATGAATTAAGAAAGATTTGTGGAAAGTTTGTAAAACAGAAGGAAAATAACCTTAGGTCTCTCTTTATTTTCAGAAGATAAAGTACAAAGTACAATGTATTAAATAGTAGTTTTATACTGCCCTTTTAATTAAGCTGGACTTTGAAAACCTAAAATTGGACTTTTAAGGTTTTCAAACAGAAAAACTAGGCATATTTTTGCAGGTGGGGGTGGGTGGTATTAAGGTTTGGAATATTGGGAGGTTTTTGGAAGTGGCGTCAAGTTGACTTATGGAGCAATCACAATTTCGTTTATCATTTCCTTCTAACAAAAGCCCTCTCTAGATTTCCAAATCCTGCAGATATTAAAGCCAAGTTTACAATATTTAATATAACTCAGTGCTAAAAAGACTCTATACTATAAACAGAGCCTACATTTAAATTGAAATATAATTCAAGTACCATAAAGTTTATGCTTTAAAAGCGTATGTCTATTTGGTTTTGATTCCCAATGGATTATGTCTGAAATGCTGACCCACTCACCACATTAAGCAGATTTTAGTGGCTTAAAAAAGCAGCCAAAATGTCGAAAATCCACATTCACACCAGTTTTAAGAGAAAAGCCATTTATATCTCCTTTTTTTTTTTTTTCCACTGCATTTCCCAGTGATTTCTTACAGTCTGGAGCTTCCTGGTTCCACCAGAGTTCTGTCTTCTAATTCCAAGCCAGCAGAGGCTCAGGTTGGACACTTTTAATTTGAGTCACTAATATCTCCTCTAGAGATGTTTAAAATCAGAATTTTGGCAAAATCTGTTATGAAGGTAAGTCGGCTTTCAACCAAACCTGCAGGGAGAGTGACATCTGCTGGTCATAAAGATTGCATCTCTATTCTATCAGAACTCCCTTTTGAAAATTATCCATAACTTTAATTACACAATAAAAACAAGTAAACCCAGGCCTCTTCCTTGGAAACAAATAAATGATCACATATGACTTATATGTGCCAATATATGCTTTAATCTAAGTTTCTTCTTCATTTTAGCCAACATAGTCTCTTTCATTTGGTCAGGGGAAAATAAACTGTTAAAAGAATTTGAAAATGACCTAAAAGCCCCTTTAAAACCGTTTCCTTAAAACTTTCCTTTGGGTTTTTGTTTTGGAGCAACAATAACTTAATTAATCTGAGAGAGAGTCTAGTAGACTTGATGGAAGATGGCTGCCAAAGGCCGTGTTACCCGGATCCCGCTACTGAACTATGAAGTTGCAGGCTTTGCACAGTCTTTTTTCCATACCCCCCACCTGTCTTCAGAATCACATACAAATTAAACTCTATTTATTTATTTGCATCTAGATTATTCCTATATTAGCTCTGGAAATTTTTATCATTGCTTTTGATGTTAGACTATAATAGGAAAAAGACAGACCTATATTTTATATTTATGTTTTTAAATGAAGGCCTGCTAATTAATATACTGATAAAAGAATTTTTATACATGATGATAACACTGAGTTTTGTGTAGAAAATATAAACTTTTTAATTTTCAGTATTCAAGTGGCATCTAAATTTGGTAGTCAAAGTCCACTCCCCTTTAGTGTTCCTTTTTTTTTTTTTCCCCTTCAATTACAAAAAAGTTGGGACTAGCTATCTTAAAAATAAAACTTTTTGGACATCTCTGATTCTTTCCATGCAATAAAATTCTAGAGGGAAAAATTTGTAATCAAATTGCCGTACACAACTATTAAAGGAACTAAAAGTAGTACAATAATAAAAAAATTGGGATGAATAGCCAGAGGGAGATGGATGTTTTACAAATTCAACCCTTACCTGTTATCTCGAGTCAATATATAACTTTTAAAGCTGATAAATAAAAACTTCCATATGTGCTTAGTATAAACATATTAGAGATAAGTGGAACCAAAGAAGTTAAAGCAGAAAAAAATAAGGTAATTGGCAGGAAGGGACTGTGGCTTCTCATAGAGTGCTCTCTACTATTAGTTTTCCGCTGGTCTTTGACACGTAGTGCTTTTACAGTTTTAGAATGAAAATGTAAATGTTTAAATTTAAAATTATATATTTTGCCAAATCATTGTTCAGAAAAATTATACTAACTTAGATTCCCATGGGGAAATTTTTTGATGTGACCCTGAATTATGTTAGTGATTTTATGTCAATTTATTTATAATCCATACTCTGGCCTATTCAAAAATTTTAAGCAATCTTAGAAAAAAATATATAGGTTAAAGATGTAATGTAACTGAGGAATTAGGGGAAAGGAAAAATAGATCTAGGGAAATAAGCTGCAGTCAGATGACCAAAAATCCATGGGAACCATCTGGAGAACCAGTGAAGAATGAGGATCCTCAGCTGGGTGTGGTGGTACACGCCTGTGACCCCAGGTATTCTGGAGGCTGAGGTAGGAGTATCACAAGTTCAAGGCCAGCCTGGGCAACTCAATGAGATCCTGTCTCAGAAATAATAAGGATGATGTAGGGCTGAGAGTATAGCTCCACAGTAGAGCACTGGCCCTGCATCTGATCTTCAATACTGCAAAAAACAAACCAACCAAACAAACAAAAAAGAGGAATGTGGCTCCTTGATCTTATGCAGGACTAATAAAAGATAATCTCTAGGGTAAGGCTCAGGAATTTCCTTTTCAGCAGTTTTGATGACCTGGAATGCTGCAGTAATTTAAAAGATGAAGTGAGTAATATGTTATGGTATTTATTAATATCCTGGTAATGAGAGCATTGGAGCTGGGGGAATGGGCATTGAGACTAGCTCCAAAGAGTGCATTTAAAAGGGCAGGAGTTAGCTGTCACTGCGTTGTCAATTTCTAGGAGATCTTCTCTTTCCTCATGGCTCAATTCCTAGCCCATCAGTTAGCTGGATTTTCTAGAGCTTGGGTCCTTTTTATGTATTGTATCAACAGGTTACATAGATACTCAGTATTGAAAAATCCTTACGTATCAACCAGGTACTGGTAATCTTTTCTGCTGTTTGTGTTCCTCTCAAAACACACTTATATACACACAGAAACAAAAAAACAAAAACCACAACATATTTTCACATGCCTTATTGAAAGCTGAAGTACCTAATTTTTAAAGCACAGAATTCAGTGTACCATAAATATAAAAGGAAGGAAAACAATTACAGCTTAATTTTACAATAGTTATTAAGAATATATTAAAAATTACACGTTAAAAAAGTGTTAAGCTTACAGTGCCTTTTGCTGCAACTGCAGCTTTTGTTCGATGATGTCTGAGAAACGAGGAACTTTTTTTGAAATAGCCACACGGATGTCATCACTCACACTAAAGCCACTTCTAGACTTTGTTTTGAAATGTAAAAGTGATGAAAAGCCCATCTCACAAAGGTATGTAGTTGCAAATGGCATGAGGATTTCTAGAGCTGCCTTTGCCAGGTTTGGAAACACCGTGAATTGAGCACACCAGAAATCCTCAAGCTTCATCGTCTCAAATTCCATGAGGATTTGGCCACTAGCTCGTAGTTCGGCAAGATCATTTTTCATTAAATAACCATCATCGACAAAATTGAGATTAAAAAGAAATGGATCCAGTATCCATTTACTTGCCTCATCAAGAGCTCCAACAGAAAAATATCCATGGAAGAAGCTGCTCAGCTCCTGGAGATGCCACGAGACGTCCGGGGCAATGCATACTCCTTCATTATCTGAAACAGTGATTTCTTCAAGGAAAGGAAAGTTTGTAAAGTTTCTTTTCTCAATTCTTTTTTGCCAAAATGGAAACTTTCTAACCAAAGCAGATAACTTTTCTCTAGCTGATACTGTGTTCATCCCAGTCCTTTGCAGAGAGGCACTAAGTTCATTTAGGTGTTTGAATAAGTCTGCAAGGTATGCCAGGTGAACTTTAAACTCTTTATCTTCAAACCCATCAATTAAATTACTGCTTTGGTAGTGAAGAAACTGATTTATTTCTTCATACATTTCAAAGATATGAGTAAGCATTTGGCCTCGGGAAAGCCACCTCATTTCAGTATGGAAAAGGAGGACGCTATATTCTATGCCAATTTCTTCGAAGAAAGCTTGAAACAGGTGATGGTTTGGAGCCCGACCTTTGATGAAATTTACTACCCTCACCACAGTAAACAGGGCATCCCTCAGTTTTGTAGGCAACGTCTTTGTGACAAGTGCATGAGGGTTTAACAGACAGTGTGTGACCACAATATGAGGTACCTCTTTTTTCACATAGGCAACAAATTCTGAACCTTCTCCTAGCACAGAGGAGGCACCATCAGTACAAACAGAGCCACATACATCAAGTGCTATTTTGTGCTTCAGAAAGAAGCCCCTGAAGAGGCGGAACACATCTTTTCCTTTCATGGTTAACTGCAGTGGTTCACAGAACAGGAATTCTTCTATGATCTCTTTTTCTTTTATATATCGTACAAATGCCATTAGCTGACTGCAGTCACCCATGTCAGTTGTCTCAGCAAGCTGAATACCCACCTTAAGAGGACTGGCTTTGATATCTTCTAGAACTTGCTGTAAGATATCCTGGCTCATTTCATCAATTCTAGAATGGATCACATCATCTGATAAAGGTACTTGCTGAAGCTTCTTTTGTGCATCTGGTCCCAAAACTATTTGGGCTATTTCCAGTGCACAAGGTTTGACCAATTTTTCAGCTATTGTATGAGGATTCTTCTCTTTGGCACATAAATATGCAAACTGATACGATGCTTGTAATAAGGCATCCTCATGAGATGCAACTCCGAGTGCCTTCAAGGTTTCTCTCTTATCAGATGGTGTTGGCACAGGCTTCAGGCCACTGAGATCATGTCCAGCTATACCACCATGCTGTCTGTTAAAATGGTCTGACAGTTTTGATGGCCTAAGGTCAGTATTTGAAAACACTGAGTTACACAACACACACTGTGGGCGTTGAGTTCCATCAGCCTCTGTTGCACAGGTGAACCAGTAACGGACATAGTCATCATCCCACTTGCGTTTCTTTGACATGGTACACAAGAATTCTCAGGTAGTGTTCCAGAGATGCCACAGAAAATTGCTTTAGGAGTAAAATATAACCCATACATTAAAAAACATCAGTGGTTAACTGAAAACAAAGCTGCATCACATGCTATCCTGTACGTGTCAAGAAATATCCTATAATGTGTCAGCTGAAGGAAAGCCCTGAAAACAGGACAATCCACTTAAGGCAGCAACTCAGAGTTAACTGCCCTGGAATAAATGACCTGACAGCAAGTCTCAAGGGAGATCTGGGCTTAGGCAAGTTATGAGGAATTCTTTACTGACAAATTGTGGTTATGGCTTAATTTGTTTTCAGTGAGGTTTATGACAAAAAGGTGGGGTTAATTTTTTATCACCTAGAAAAGGCACCTCATGAGGATGCTTGCTCCTTCTATCCTGACCCAAAGATGTTTGCACACCTTCAGTTAAGAACCACTGAACAGAGAAAAGGAGTAATTCACCAAGTGTTCAAAGCAAGGGCAGATTCTGACATAGTGGCTAATGTTTCTTAATAGTTACAGATTAAACAAGTTTGTAAAACTATTTGATCCTTGAGCAGCTTTGACATCAACTTAAGCAGGAATTTCAAATAGGTTTTTAAGCCTGATGAAGTCTACCTTGACACAAAGGTGGGCTACGAAGATAGGCTTCCCTGATGTTAAGTGAAGTGTAACAAAATATTCATCGTTGATTCATATTATCCATATATAAAAGCAAAGAAACATGCTCAGGAGAAACACAACTATTCTAGTTAATGAGACTTTAGGAAAATCCCTCTCATGTGAGGACACTTTTAACTGCAAGGAATTTCATGGTGCTTTTCCATATAGCTACCCCTTCAGTAGAAGCAGTCAAAATAACAGGGTGTAAATAAGCAGCATTCCTAAGATTTGTCTTAAACCAAAGACAGGGTGTAGAAGGCCAGTGGTTCTCTATTGTAGTAAATGGAGAAATCATCTGGTTCATGGCTAAAATGAATATTCCTAGACCCTAACCCTAGAGATACTGATTCTCTAGCTCTAGATTAGGGGTCTAGAATTTATATTCTAAATAAGCACTGCAGATAACAAAGAACAGTGATTGTAATGAGGGCCGCCCATCAATCACAGGGAATCCTTCTGAAAGTATACATGTCCCTAATTATTATTAGAATAATAACTGATCCCCTGCACAAGGAGAACAAAAGAAAATTAAATAAAGTTGTCTGGGTGATCCTGATACACACTGGAGCAAGTACGCAGGTTTACAAGGAAGAAAACATTTCCTTCAAGACAATCCCTGGCTCACATATATTCTAGGTTGCCAAGTGAATAGTCTAACTGCTTTAATAGGCATTTAAGTTGTCTGAGTTGAAAACAACCACCTATGAAAGTAGAGAAACCTAAAAAAGGAAGTCATGCCTTTTTCCATTTCCTACTCTTTAGCAAATGAACAAAGGTCTCTGTAGGTAGGCTCAAAAAGACCTTGGAAAACAATTCTATCTCCACAATAAATAAATGATCCCTGAAGTTTTCAAAGTTCTATGTCCCAGAATGTGGCTGAAATAACTTAATGGGGACACATTTAATAGAAATGCTCACTGTGGCCACAGAAAACATCACAATAAGAACAACTACTTAAAATAGTAGCTCTCTAGTGGATATGCCACGATTAATTGGCTGTAAAATGTACTTCTGTTACTAATAGGTTGACCCGTTATATGGTTGTTATGAATTGTTATGAATTGGGGGAAATCTACTGACCCTGAACTTCAAAAAACTTTTGAAGTTCATAAGGCCTTATTTTATCAAGTAATGATATATATGACCACTTGTGTTTAGAAATACTTGCAAGTAATGATGATATCAGCATGAAAATGCCCAAGTTCCTGTATATCTGTAATGTATATTTACTATGTATATTTGGAGAGGTGGAGGGAATAAGGAAAAAGTTTTATTTTAGTCTTAGAAATCATTACTGAACCTGTTAAGAGTCCATCTTATCTACCCTGACCATGCTACTCAAGCACATTTTGATTTAAGATATACCTGTTCTGAACAAAAGAGTTTTTAGAAAAATTCACTTATAGTCTTTTCTGTTCTCCTCAAATGGGAAAATAGGTAGCAAGAATTTTTAAGATCCTCAAAGATGAACTTACCGCCCAAGTGGCTTTCTTGCCTTTTAGAACCTCCCAATTTTCACTTGCTCCTTTGTGGTATTTAGGAATAACAATATCCTAAAAAATGTAAACATTAAGAAACCATCATCATGAGGAATTATTAATTTAAACAGATGTGATGTTACTGTGGTTGTGTTAAAAATTTTTTCATTTGTTAGAGATACAGAATTATTAACAAGTGAAATGATATGTGGGATTGCCTCTGAAATACTGTGCTTGAGCACATAAATATAGACATAAAGGGGGTGGAGATAAAAAGAAGTAAGACTGGCCTTGAGCAGATGATGTGTACACATCATACCACTCCCACTCCCACTTTTATGTACGTTGGAAGTTTTCTGTAATAAAAAGTAACAAAAAAATTTTAAAAAAAGTAAAATAGACAAAAAAGAAAAACCCACATTATTTTAAGGAAGATATCATTTTCAAAATAGGTCTGAAAATCTTTTGGGCGCTATCTTAAGATGCTGAATGAATCTGATATAACAAAGTAAAATTTTTTTTGCAAATTTAGGCACCATAAAAGTACCATACTTAACACAAAAAATAATCGGCTAAAAGGGAACATTCATGTAACAGAACTATTTAGGAAATGCTAAGATGTTATATATATATAAGTATTGCAGGCGTGAAAACCTTGAAGTAGAGTTGTAAGTCTGAACCACACACAATTCAGCTGGTATCCAGCCACTGCCTGTGCAAGTCCATGGTAGGAGCAGAGTTGGGGAGGCAGAGGGTGTAACCATATTTTACAGTTAAAAGCAACAGCCACAGCAGGGGCAGGATGTGGTGATTGCGCAGTTCCAGAGGCAGACGACTGGGATCTTGGCTTTGTCACTTACAGGCTGGGACCTTTCCACTCCTCAAGTGGGTTGAACAGTACCTACCTTATAGGGCTGTTGGGAGGTTTAATTATGAGAATGCATGCAAAGAACACGCTGCTCCTAACTGACAGGGCCTGATGGTGTTATTAGGAGCGGAGTTTGGCGCAGGCCGAGGGCTACGGTCGCCAGCGAGGAAGGCGGGCTCGGCTAGGTCTCCGCCCGCCGGTCTCCGAGCCCGAGGCGCAGGCCCGGGAGGATGCTCGGGCTTCGTTTTGGCGCCGTTTTAGGCTCCAGAGCCGCTCACTGTTCAGCCTGGGGCCAGGACGTCAGAGCCGGTCCAGGCGGCGGCTCCAAAGGTCAGACCCTCGAACGGGAACTTGGGGAGCGCCGCAGCCGGACGCTGCTGCAGAGACGCGGTTTCTGCCCGGCCGGGCTCCGTTCCATCCGGGTCCCGCGCCCTTCCCGCCCGCAGACTGGGCGCGGCGCCTCCCGCACGCAGGCGCAGTAGCGCGGCCGAGGACCGGAGTCTCTGCGGAGGGTGCATGCGCGCTGGCCCGCCGCAATTTTGTTACTGTGAGTGGAGCTGGAGAATTTTAATTGTGTTGTTCTGGGGATGAATTGTAGAATCTTAGGAATGGAGGGCACTTGGCTTTGTCCACATAGTTCCACATTTTTACAGATAGCTGCAATGTTTTGAATTTGAAGTGATAATGCTCCAATATTTATCACTTTTTGGTGTCAGCGAGGAAAAAGAACAGTTCCTTGCATCCCTGCATCATGCAAACTGGGCAGACCTGAAGTTCCATTAAGATGCAGTGGAGGAGGAGCTTCCACAAGTGGTGCTTGCTGCCCATGTTGGTCACCTTTCCATCAGTGAATGTGGATGAATGTCTCATAAGTCCTCAATCCATTTTACAGATAAGATTATTTTATTTAAAATTCCTTTTAACAACATGATTTAAAAGTAATAAACCCATATTAAAATGATTTTAAAGAAAAACCCTGGTGTACAAACGAGAAAACATTATTGAAAAAGATAAACCCAATATAGCCCTCTTTCATATTTTTAGGCAATTTGCTTCCAAAATTCTTTTAAACTTAGTGAAATGTTTATTTTTGTTTAGTCAGTCTTTGAAGCATTCCACAAGGCTGGTTCATTTGAGGGGAAGAGTTAGGGGAGGCTGTTAAAGAATGTGGGATGTTAGAACGCTGGAATTTCTTAATACGAACTCATAAAACTAGCTCAGACTCCCTGCCAATAGTATAACCCATTTCTCGACCAAGTATTTGAGATAACACTACAAACCACTCAGTTTAGTGTTCTTAATTACATACCTTTATTAACAAAAAATACAAGACAGACACCAGTGTCAGACTTGATGTTGAACCACCCTAATAACGTAAGAATAGCAAAACAAAATTTTGACTATCTTAAGAATAACATCTGCCTTGCTATTTTAATTTCAATTAGTTGGAATCTAGACACCATGTATATTCCCAGTATTTGCTAATTTGACTCAGCTGTTCTTCTAGAACTAAGAAGAGATTTCAACTTAACACAGTACACTACACACTTTTTTGGTAGTTTAGAAAGGTGTTAAGTAGATGCATTCATATCGGGGATTTTAGTCTGTTTTCACTGATTCTGCTCTATCAGCATTATTTTCATAAAGTGTCCTGGGGATCATAGTGATCTCAGTTACTAAGATCCATACAAGCTATCATTACAATTCTCTGAAGAAACGTCCAACTTCAGGTTTTGATCCCTGCAAATTTTACAAAGTGACACCTGCTAGCTAGCTATGAAGATTAGGTATCTCTCAGATATTCTGCACTCTCTTACAATCTAACTTAATATCATGATCATTACATAAAGGCATAATAAATAACAAAATATTACAAACCATATTTACTATGATAAATGAAAGAATTTCTATGTTTTTCTAGTATTTTTCCAATAGTAGTAAAAGTACTATTATATTGACTCAAGAATGAGAAAATAGTGACCCAAAGACCAAGGTAAAAATAACTTTTTTCATTTCAGACCAGGAAAACCTGATAAGGTTAAAAACAAGTGATTACAAAATAACTAATAACAGTGTTAAATTACAACTGTAATTGCTAGTCATTAAAAAAAAAAAGAAGCCCTAGTTTTGAGAAAGAGTAACTAATCTACTTTCAATGTGTGTGCTAATACTAGACAGAAGGCCAAAAAAATTGAGGAAACAGTTTGAGACTTAACTGTTAAGTACAAAACATTCTTGGTAAGTAGAGAGTAAAGGTTTTTCCATATCACTAATATAAAAGTTAGACTATTTCCAATCTTACTCCACACTTAACGTACTTTCTGTTTGAGATCTTCACTTCTTCAGTGTGGAAAAGAATGAATTTACTTTGAGACTTCTTAAAGCTTTATTAAAGTTAGTCAGCAAAGAAGAGTAGACAAGGATTTTTCCAGTCTATAATCATGAGCAAGAAGTTGAAAAGACAATGTCAGCTGAATCTATCCTGGATGAATTTCTATGACTAGTTACTGTCCAAGGAAAGAGGCCATGGGGTCATCTGGCCTCTGCCGTTTCATTCTGTAGGCCTCCATTTCCTCTTCGGTGGGTTCCCGAGTTTCATATATGCTATTGTAAGGCCGTTTCCTCTCATCAACCTGCATGATCTCCTTAACATGAAGAAGGCGGGCCTCCTCTGCATTCAGTGCCTGTGGTGAGAGGGAAAAAATTACTATCACAGTGCTATGTCAGATCTCTTTTGTTCAAAAGTGGCAAAGTACCCAAGACCCCACTGAATCTGAAGAGTTATATAAAAAACATAAGATTACCTAAAAAGGGCTTAGGAGTCAATTCTTCCACTGTGAAGCTACAACTAATCAGTATTTGACTCATATGACATTTTCATAGAGCACAAAACATTCTATGACATTTTAAATCAATGTTGAAGAAATTATATTTATAATAAAAATTGAACAGGGCTCATTTTTTTCTACAAGCCCACAGCTGATGCTTCTGGCAGAGAGTGTAAGTCCAATTTTTCTCCAGGACTTGCTGAAACTTACACATGATGGAACCAGAAGGCAATTCATTCTGGGCAATATGCCAATAACTCTAAAATAACAACTTTGCCAAGAACATTTCTTTGGTGAATAAGTAATATTTACCAAATATTCCAAGAAGGTGGCAATACCTAGAGCCACAGAATCGCCATTAATATGACCTGGGCATGTAACTCAGACTTTGGCTCATTTCCTCATTTTTAAAATGAACTTGCAAACAGGACTAGACCATTTCCTAAGTCCCTCAGATAAAGAATACTCTTATTTGTCACTTTGTACTTGGACTTAATGGAGTACCTTTTTCAATTTTTCATGTTTCTTTTCTTCATCCTCACTATCTGAGCTGCTCTTTCGGTGCTTCTTCTTTTTCTTTTTCTTCTTCTTTTTCTCTTCTTTTAGTTTTTCCTGATGCATCTGAAAGGGAAGATTAAAATTAGTGCTATTAGGGTGAAAACAAAGCTGTAGTACAAGTTTAAAGTCCTCCTTTCAGGACTTAAAAATGTAGAACAAATGATTACAGACTTACTTCCATGAGGGTTTGAGGTTTTTTCACAGATTCTTCTCCACTTACATCATTTATAATACATTCTTCTGAATTCTGTGGGAAAACAAATGTAATGTGATTGAATGTTATAATTAACAATCACTTAAGAACAAGTTAAAGGCTGGGGATATAGCTCCGTTGGTAGGTAGAGTGCTTGCCTTGTATAAACAAGGCCCTGGGTTCAATCTCCAGCAATACACACACACACACACACACACACACACACACATCTGAAACATGAGAAGACATGTTTTATGTGGGGTTTGAATTAAGAGCTTTGGCTGTCTTAAATATTTAAAAACAAGAAGAAAATTACTTACAACAATATCCTTTCCAGCTTCTCCAGTACAATAGGAATACTTGAAAAAAGAGTGACAGCATTTGTATCCCCATCGGCCATCCTTCCAGTAAGATCCCCAGATATGCTGTGCAGAGAGAGAGAGAGAAAGGGGGAAGGGGGAGGGAGGAGAGAGGGAGATATTACTTTAGGGATTTTCATATACTGTTGATAAGATAAGACAGCCCTTTTAAAGGTAATTTGGGAAAAATTTTGGGGGATTTCTGGCTAACAGAGGGCAGGCCAATCTCAAGTGCTGAGAAGCTAGCATTACAGTTACAATGGTCTTTAATTCAATTTTCAAAAGTCTATGAAAAAATTTAAAATATACAATTTCTCTAAACATTAAGGCCTGGGAAATTCTGGTCCTATATTCCCACTTGGCAATAAGCTACTATTGCCAACAGAGAATGTGCTTACTAGAGTTTGTTGTCCAGTTTGTACAATTTGCCTAGCTCACTTCAGTGGCCTGAGCTGCTACAGGTATTTAGGTTTTTGATCCCTGACTTAGAGACAAAATTATAGTCTGGTTATTTCAAGAGTACAACAAACAGGTCTGAAGGGTGTAGGTTAGTGGTAAAGCATGTGTTTAGCATGCCCTAGATTCAATCCTCAGTACCAAAAAAAAAAGTATAGCAAATGACAATGTATGTTTTATGCAATGCAGTATGAAATATACTGCATAATCTATTACATATTCTTGTCAAAACATTTAACTTATATATAAAAAAAGCTTTTGGATCTGAATTCTTATTTACAGGATATACAGAGAATCGAGGAATAAGTTATATAATATTACTAATAAACAGTCAAAATATAGAATATGAGTCAGTTTACATGATAATTGACTAGATCTGGTAAGTTGACTTGATCTGATCATTGTCAAGAAAACACAGAGAAAGACTCTAGAATAAGACATAACAGTCAAATAATAAAACAAACTTCAACTAGATTCTGACTAAAATAGCTATTCAAAGCACTTCTGTGGGGCTGGGGATGTGGCTCAAGTGGTAGCACGCTTGCCTGGCATGCATGCGGCCCGGGTTCGATCCTCAACACCATATACAAACAAAGATGTTGTGTCCGCCAAAAACTAAAAAATAAATGTAAAAATTCCCCCCCCCCGCTTTAAAAAAAAAAAAAGGCACTTCTGTGTATATCTTTTAAGAAGTGATTTAAGAACTAAATATGATAAGGGAAATAATCAATAAAATCAATAAACAGGAGAGACTCTAACGAAGTCTACTAATATCTTTAGCATATTGTAACATGTGTTTTAAAAAAAGAAGATGAGCTTTTGTAGCCTGTAGGAATGCTTATAAGATTCTTTCAGATTTTATGTATGTCTCAAATTTTTCATAATAAAAGTGGCAAAACAGAATACAACTAATAGCCTTTATTGGATCACTAACCTCCATATGTAGTAAATAAATGTCAATATTATCTTTAGTATTTGTCATTTTCTTTGAACATGCAATATGAAAATAAACTAATAAAATAATGTGTGAAATGTCATAGCTGCAATTTCCAAATGTT